AAACAAACTCTGGGCTGATCTAATGTATGTCAGGGCTTGGTTAACTCACAGATTGAACCCTGAAACAACCTCTGGGCTGATCTAAGTCAGGGCACGACTAACTCACAGATCAAACCCTGARACAAACTCTGGGCTGATCTAATGTACGTCAGGGCATGGCTAACTCACAGATTGAACCCTGAAACAACCTCTGGGCTGATCTAATAATCAATTTTATAATGATAATCAATTTTATGAAGTCTCATCAAAAAAAATTCAAAGCAATGCATGATAAAACTTATGCTCTGGTATCGTGGCCCGTCCTTAAATTTGGGTGCGCTCGCAACCTTGAGAGAACAGTCTATTGCAAAAAAAAWGATTTTTTTGTAGAGGAAGGAAAAATCATAATTACACCCAATTTAGGAGGAGAAATGAGTTGGGTCAGAAGGTAACCTGACATAGGCTGATTTAATCATTGCAGGATACCTAGTACATTCTAAATTCTACTTAAGTATTTATTATTTTTTCTTTATTGACATGTTATTTGATTTGTGTAGTTCCAGAAATTATACTAAAGTGGGTTTGGATAATTTTTGGAACTACACATTATTTAGTGGATATATAAATAAAGTTTTGTTGTTGTTTTTTTGCTAATATCAATGATATATTCTTATTGTTATTTTTATTTTCTTCAGGTCCAAAAGAGCCATCACTTACTGAAGGTAATAAATTCATCTATTCTGACATTCTGACCCCCCCCCCCCTAAGGCCTTTTTTGAGTTTGGTAAACAAGATGCATTGTGGTCTATCTTGGGTACAAATAACACCACGTAAGGCATGATGAACGAAAGGTGTTTGTACCAAAGTTAGACTAAAATGAACCAAGTTTGCTAGCTCAGAAAAGGTCTTTGGAGGGAGGGGGGTTAAATATTTTTTAGAGTTGGGCATTAAACATCATTGGGTGTGCGTGAAGGATATTATAAATTATAATAGTTTTTAGAAAGATATTTGTGCCATTCTGTAGTGCTTTTATTTTTATCATATTTTATTGAGAATTCAATAGACTATTTGTTTACTATTTTAGACCATGTGCCATTCCCTAGAGTATAATTTCTTTGTTTAATGATTTTGCATCAGAAGACACATAAATTATACTATTCAAACAAAGAATCATATCCTCAAGAGAATAACACATGCTCTAAAATAGATATATGTTATTTACTGGCCAGGAGGTCTGGATAGGGAAAAACTGTGCCCGAGGTCTTGAATATACGGTCCGAGGCCGTTAGGCCGAGGTCCGTTTTCAAGACCGAGGGCACAGTTTTCMCCTATCCGGACCAACTATAGGACGGTAAATAACTTATTTATTTTTTTCACGTATTTTTTTACTTGTTTCTGTAATCGTTTTGTGTTGTTTWGCGGCAAAGGATACCGGACTGCGYGCACGGGCAGATACTGACAAAATACCGCCTGCTCAAACAGCCAATCAGAACGCACGATTTTTTAGGATACTGGACCGGAAAAAAATAAAAAGACATTACTCCATAACAAAAAAGGTTTATTAACTAAAACTGCTACTAAACTAAAACAAACTTTTCAAAATTAATTTTTAAAAATTGGTATCATTTGATGTACTTTTTTGTAAGATTCCTRTATTTTTTTCAATTCCAGCAAATCAAGCAGAGGAGATCAAGCAGTTAGTGTTAACGGTTGTACTTCCCGTGATAGCATTTGTTGTGCTGATCTTCATAGTGTGTTGTGTCTTCATGTATAGAAGGTAAAAGAACTAATGTATGTCATGTCTCTTTTGTATTCATCCTTGCAACAGTCCATATTCAAATGCCTTCTCTTGTCTTCTGAACCATTAAGGTGGCTCCATATAGGATTTGTACACGCGTGCACCAGGTTGTGCATGAGCATTCGCAGTACCAGAACTTGAAGAATTTTTATTTTGATGACATCACAAAAAGTCAGTGGCATGCGTTATTTAAAAAAATAAAAACTCGAAAACATCTAGTCAAATATTTAAAAATTTCTACAGCTTTAAGGGTCTAATTCTAAAGGGTCTAATTCACCAAAGCGACCCGTGTTTGAGTCCCACTGAGCGCTGTGTTGCATGTGAGTAGAGTTGCTTGTTGGTTCTCTCCTGTGCTTCAAGGGTTTAATTTTCAAGTTCTCTGGCTATCCTCCCTCCACAAAAATCAACTCCTAAGTTCCAAATGGAATACAGTGGAAGAAGAGCCACTCTGTGGAATCCACTGTTAATCCCATCATGATGATGATGATGATGATGATCATGATGATGGTGATGATGATGATGATGATGATGATGTACTTGTAAATAAAGTTTCTTTTGTTGCTTCATTTCTGACAGATCGAGAAAATTCAGCCGAATTCCAAACAATGACTTCGCTGAAAGCCATGGTAAGCAAAAAAATCTTTTTGGATTTTGCCTCGTACCTCCTCTCTACCTTCGCATTACTCCTTTTTGTCCTGTCCCGGTTGGGGTGAGGTGTCAAGGACGAGGCTCCTGGGTTAAACCTCTAGTCTAGAAAATGAGAGGTCACTGCTAGAGTATGCCAAAGTAAAARGGGAAAAATATTCTTGTTTTGTTATTCAGAACTACCAACGTGTGGACAGAAACTATACATTGACCCAACCAACTATGATAACCCAGAAGAAGCTTTACGCAACTTCGCTAAAGAACTTGACAAGTGTTCCATCTCTCTAGAAAAAGTCATTGGTGGAGGTGAGTATGTAAATGTTTGGTCGTCCATTTGGTTATTCAGTTTGTTATTATTATGTTTTTGTGATACACTCAATAGGCCATTTCACGGATCCAGTTACTCAACCTCAGCCTCGTCAGCTAATTATTCTTTAGAATTTGACTACAGTCCGCAGTAATGAAAGGAATTTACACATCAACGAACAATAATTATTGAAACACTTAAAAATTTCACAGATCGTAGGCAATTCCTAAAGAATATATTACACGCTGACGAAGCTGAGGTTGAGTAACGGGATCTGTGAAATGGTCTATTGTAAAATTATTGTCAGGTTCAGAACATAGAACATAGGAGCTGAGACCAAAATATGTTCTGGGAAATGACATGATTATCCTCTGATGTAATCATTTTTCCATGCTCTCTGTCAGCACAAAAATAATTATAAACATTCCACAAGTTGTGTTACTAGATACATCTAGTTAATTAACATACTTTCCATGTACCATTTCTGTCTCAGCKACAGTGGTTTAYTTCGCCCTCCAAAGGAATTGGAAATTCTGGAGGGGAAGGRGTCAGAGAAWTTTTTTTTACAGAATTTGTATGGAAGAAAATTAGAAGTTCCCGAGGGTRGGGGTCCTTTTAATTCTCTCTGTGGTGGASGTATGGATATTTTCTAGGACTACACATTCCTGAATTTTTTTTTCTTCTTTGCACAGGTGAGTTTGGTGATGTATACAAAGGAATTCTAAAACGTCAAGGGGAAGAACCAATACCTGTTGCTGTGAAAACACTCAAGGTAATGTTTATCATAATATCAATTCTTTGTTAGGSAAGTTACATTTTCTTTGGAGGGGTGAAGGGCTGCCGCTTCAGGGGGGAGGGGCATCAGTAAACATTTGAACTTGTGGAGGGTCAAAACTGTTTATTTTGACTTATAGGAGGGTCATGAGTTTCTTGCTGAGTAAAAGAAATTGAATTTCTCACTCTCCTTGAATTGAATTTCAAATCCTCCCCTCACCCACCCCCTCCCCCCACTGCAAGGGCGGATCCAGGGGGAACACCCTTCAGCAGGAAAAAAAACAAAACTGAAGAATTATATGCTTTTTTAGTGTTTTCCGTTGTGTTGACGGAAGAAACTCAATTAGCCCCCCCCCTAAAATTTTGGCTGGATCCGCTCTTGCATCACCCTCTATAAAAGAACCCTTTGAAAAAGATGTACCTTTCCTTACAGACACCAAAGCAATGTTTGGAAGCAAGTGTTTGTATTATGTAGGTTCTAATATGTGAAAGTAAGAAATTTTTTAAATATKTTTTTGTCTAAACTTAGTGTTCATTTCTCCCTTCTCAACAGCATGGCTCATCCAAGAAAAACCGAGATGATTTTCTCCTCGAAGCGTCTGTCATGGGACAGTTTTGTGACCCTAATGTTATTTTCCTAGAAGGCGTAGTCACTAAATGTAAGTATTCAAATATTCGTTCGCACGCCCACTCATAACGGCCATCTTGATGGTATTCATTAGTCTACTTTGTTATTGCCAATCTACTATACTTATGCCATCAAATTATTCAGCTGTCATTGGCTATTATCATAAGATGTATTTTCTATGTATCTTTTTATTTAACCCCATCCCCCACTTGAAGAAAGGTTGACCACACCCATGAATCAATATAGGTTCCGCTCAAGGAAAGTGCATACCACATATTGTTGCGGCATTTGGTGTTCATAATCACAATGAACTTTTTTCTTCACCAGCTCAACCATTAATGATCGTCACAGAATTCATGAGTAATGGCTCACTTGATAACTTTCTCAAGGTAACTAGATAGTTAATTGTATCATTTACTTTTGAATCCCCTCCAATGAGTTTGCTATTTCTCAGTTCCTCTAATAAAAGAATTTTTTGAAATTGTGAATGGAAAACGTGTATAGGTACGGGACAGTATGCCATGTAACACTGAAATGGCTTCGTATGGTTTGACTGAGGTAAAACATGGTACAACAGTTGTACCATGTTTTACCTCAGTCAAACCATATATATAGTATAGTTACTATACTTTTACTCTGTCCTCCTAACTAAACCTTAAAGGGCTATGTCAACCGAACATCAAACCATAGTGTTTTGGGATGCACGCAGGCTACAAAGGGCTCTGTTTTTATGCTATTATCTCTCACCATTTTCTTTATTCTCTTTAATTCTTCCAGGAAATGGACTCCAAGCTAAGTGAGCTTCAGCTGCTCGGCATGGCAAGGGGCGTTGCTTCTGGCATGAAATTTTTATCAGAAATGAACTTTGTTCATAGAGTAAGAGCACAGATTAGACCTCTTTACCTTGGGCGCAATAATTCCCATTTCAGACCAAGTTTCATTCCCTAGAGTATCATTTTCTTTGTTTAATGGTTTCAAATGAGAAGACACATGAATATGGATGCAACTCAAACAAAGAATATTATTCTCAAGGAAACCACTTGTGGTCGGAAATGGGTAAACATTACACCCAGTGGTTTTGTTTTATTGAAAACATAAGATTGATCAAGCTGCTTTTAGAGATGGCGGTGTTACCTGTCTCATCTTCTAGCCACACAATAAAAAAAAAGGGCGTTGCAGTTGCACAAACAGGGTCTTATGGAAGGTGGATTTTCACTTCTTTTTCACGTCCCATTTAAGGATAAAAATGTGTAGAAATCCTATGCTGGCAATTCTAATTTCCATCCCATTTATTTTCCTATTCTAATGCCAATTTAAATATTATTGAATGAGAATATCCATTCATGTCTTCTAGTTTCTCACAACTTCTATCCACTCACTTTGCAGGACTTGGCAGCTCGTAACATTCTTGTCAGTGAGTCAYTAGTTTGTAAAGTGGCTGACTTTGGTTTGTCTAGAGAACTTGAAGACTCTGCATATGAAACTAAGGTATCAGTACGTATGCCTTGCTTTAATCAGGGCACAGGGAGCCCAARATAGATAAGAGACCGTTCATTTTTATGGGCATGGGGGGATGGGGGCTGGTGGGATTTTGTGAATTGTAAATAAATATATATATCACCCCTCTCCAACCTGAATTTTTTTACGTGGCCCCTTATTTTAATATTTAAATGATTTTTCTATTGAGCTAATTATTTTTTCATTGGCCATCCTTAATTGCCATATTTTTTTACATTACCCCCTCCCCCCGCAAAATCCCAGCAGCCCCCTCCCTCCCCCCCTTGGAGGGAGGGGGTACTATGGGCTAAAACCCATCTACTTATACCCCAAGGCCAATGTTCAACCAATTCAGCCTGGCAGAATTGATGGTGAATTTCTTTTGTTGTAGGGTGGTAAGATTCCTGTGCGATGGACAGCRCCAGAAGCCATCAAATTTAGAAAGTTTAGTACCTCTAGTGATATTTGGAGCTATGGAATCTTGTTATGGGAGATCATGTCCTTTGCTGAGAGACCTTATTGGGACTGGAGCAACTTTGAGGTATACGTAAATTCTGGTTTGAATTTGCTATAATTAGTTTTCTTGTGGAAGAACGTCATATTATTAGACTCCATTCTACAGGTTTTTCCCCGTTTCTCATGAATTTCCTCAATTTCTCTGCTCCTCATTCTCCTCGTTCTCCACTATCTCCCTTCCTTCTCCTTCTCCTCCTCCTCCTCCTCCTTCTCTTCCTTCTCCTCTTCCTCCTCCTCCTTCTCGTCCTCCTTCTCCTCATCCTCATCCTTCTCCTCCCTCATTCTCATCCTCTTATCCTTCTCTTCTTCGTCCTCCTCCTTCTCTTCCTACTCCTTCTCCTCCTTCTCCTTCTCCCACATTTTCATCCCTCTAAGTCAAATCATTTCTTCTTCTTTCTCAGGTGATGGACAGAGTTGAAGGTGGTTTTAGACTTCCTCCGCCTATGGTGAGTTTTTATACAGAACAAATAACACAGTATATTTTACTTGTCGTTATCTGTTTTTCAGCATTGACTAATAGTCAAGGCGCAAAAATTCTGTCAAATGAACTAGCCGGATAGTGATGTTAACTTAAATTCTTATCTCAACAGCATTGTCCTACAGCAGTGCACCAGATMATGTTAGAGTGTTGGAATGAAGACCGAGCAAAACGCCCAAAATTTGCCCAGATCGTAAAACATCTGGATATTCTGATTCGATCGCCAGAAAAGATGCAGGAAAATCTTCCAATCGWAGCAAGGTAAGAGACTATACTTTTGTATCCATCATCACCATATTTATCAGCAACATCAGTATTAGCATCATCATCATCCATCATCACCCACATCTGATCATCATCATCATTGCTTATCATCATCACCATCTTCTTCAGCAACATCAGTATTAGCATCATCATCATCCATCATCACCCACATCTGATCATCATCATCACCGATCATCATTGCTTATCATCATCACCATCTTCTTCAGCAACATCAGTATTAGCATCATCATCATCCATCATCACCAACATCTGATCATCATCATCACCGATCATCATAGACAAAGAGATTATTCAATGTAAAGAGCTTGTAATGTGCAATAAATTATTATCTTCATCTTCATCGCCATCATCATAATGATCATATATCATCTTCATCAATCACCATCTTTTTCATGTCTCATCGTCACAATCATTCGCTACCATCATCTTCTTCATCATGATGTCATCATAATTAGGGCATCATTGTCATCATTATAGCAATGTGACCAAGTGGATGTTGAACGGCAAAGATGATGAAACTCATTGCAGGTCTTTTCMAAGATAGGTCGCAGAAAAATAAGTGAACTAAAACTAAAACTTGGACTAAACAAAAACASAACTAAACAGCACAAAATCTGGAGCAGAACTGATTTAYTTTTCAAATTACGAATACTGTTGCGTGATCACTTACATCATCATTCCAAATATGGCTAATACAAACGTAACGCAACAAACTCGAATAAATCTTCAACCAGTTTTCAACTTGGTTACAGCAACAATATCTCACTTTTCCTTTGTTTTTTCCCCTTCTCATCAGCAAGCCCAACATCGACTACACGCCCGTAACGACGATCGATGAATGGCTGAAAAGCATCAAGATGGGCCAGTACACTGATCAGTTCGTCAAGGCAGGATACAGCAACCTTAAAAACCTAGCAGAGTTCGAAGAACCAGACCTTGAAGATTTGGGAATCAAACTCATTGGCCACAAAAACAAAATCCGAAAGAGCATTCGTGAAGTAAAGAACAAGTTGAAGCGAGAATCCTCTGTGCCAGTCTAGTGGTTGCTGTGCTAATAAGGTAACGATAGAAGTATACAAGTATGCAAGGTAGCAGTAGAGGATAAATAAACCAAGCGATAGAAGCTATATGCTTGAGGTGTACTTCCGGTTGGAACCGGAAATATTTCCGAACCAATCCTTGTAGTACAGGAGTCTCTTCACGTGTACTGACCAGCCAATCAGAGCAAAGCTGCGCATAAGGCTAGCCAATAACCGCAAAGACAGAAACTGACCTGGTTTAAAACCAACCAATCAAAGACAAACAAAAGAAAGACAAGCATGACGATACAACTACAATTGAAACCAGCCAATCACAATAAGTTAAAAAGACCTAACGTCAGCCAATCACGATAAACAACGTGTTGATGTAACTGTGAGAAATTCAGCCAATCACAACTTAGAATATCACTGAGCTTTATCTAGCCTCGTTATGAGGTCAGATTAAAACGGAACGCGTATCCTTTAAAAGAGGCACCCAGTCTCTCGCAGACACTTAAACACAGGGATACCAAAAGCAAAAGGCGGACGCATCTGGAGGCAGACAYCAATACGACGAAGTTTTTTCTTTTATGTAAATAATTGTTGTTTTCGAGCCATTTTATTTTTCTAAAATTGCGTAACCTACAATAGATGATATATTTTTGGTATAACAACTTCACTTCACTTTTCTTTCGTCATTCTCTAAAAGATTTTTAGTTACTTTTTTAGTAAACTTTTTTTCTTCTTCGTTACTTCATGTAGTAAACACTATAAAACCGGTTTGAAATGGTTATAAATTTCGTATTCATTGATAAAGGATATAAATATAGCGCGACATTGATAGCCCATCTTAACCAGATTTTTGTAAATTTCTTTATGGGGCAAACCATTGTACTTGACTATGGTTTTTGTTGAACTTATGTCTTACTCCACTGTGTAGGCGCAAAGAATATATGAAAGTATGACAAACAATGTACCACAGGGTACCCAACGATTTAGTGTAAAATAGCCATAGGAAAGCTCAGTCTTAAAATTCAAAAGCTTAAAAAATAATCTCTCAAAAGAACTGTAGATAAAGTTAGTTTAAGGAAATCAAATTATCTGTTGTACGAATCAAACAAGACTAAATATATTAATACCTAAGTTTAAAAGTTTGTAAGGCTAAGTGACCTGGCATTTTTGATAGATGTAGAGGCATGGGTCTTGCTTTCTCTCTCTCTCTCTCTCTCTCTCTCTCTCTCTCTCTCTC